TTTCTAACAACCCTACATTTCATACATGTTCCTTCTTGTTCCCAAATTTCTAGTCTGCATTCACTTCCCACCCAGTCCCATTTACCTCTTGATGTTCCCCCATGCTTCCTTATCTTTGTCACCTGGTTACTGATCCCAGTCACAACTGAAGCTTCCCTTTTAGATCTTTCTTTTGTCCCCAGATGGTACATTAAAAGTGTACTGACAGTGTTGACACAGAATAACAACTCTGCTTTGAAGGAATAGGAGAAAGCAGTTTATTCTGAGTCCCACAGGAGTGACCTAAGCCTGGGAGCACAGATTCACTTTGCCCTGAGCCATCCAAACAAAAGGACTCATAGCTAGTTGTACAGACATAGAACAGTGTCACTGTAAGTCAGTGCATCCAGTGAATACCTTGGTGAGGGAATCTCATGGGTGGGTTAAGGTATAGAAAATCAGAACAGTGGGCAGGGGGTAGCCTGCTGCCTGCCCAGTGAGGAGGCTGATCAAGGCAAGGCTGTTCTGGGTCAAGCTGTGAATGGTCAATTAAGCCTAACACATGTCCCAGAAGGTTCACGAAATAGTCAACTGCTAGGTCAGATACAAAAGTACTGAGCCTCTGTTGAGGCACACCCTCACTCACCATGTCACTCGTGCCCCGGGCTGGCCCTGCACGCACTCCTTGGACCATTTCTGTGTAGGGCTGTTTTGGGGGAGCCACACACCTTGCTTCCAAGCCAGGACTGCTTCCCAAAGCCCAGACCGCTCAGGCGAGGCCTTCCTTGCCTCCTCCCTGATGTGCACATCTCTGCTCCGGAGCCCCACTCCCCAGCCTTCCTACAGGCACCCCTCACCTTTCCCACCCAGGGAAATGCCCCCTGGCTTGCCTTGGTGTGGAGGACCTGGCCGACTCCCCACAGAGGAGCAGCTGTCTCCATGTTGGCTGAGCCTGAGCCTATTTCCATGTACAGAGCTGGCTAGGACTTTTCCTTATCCCTTCAGTTGGCTTTAAGCAATGCCTATCAGTCTAGCCGAGGTGCTGGTGGTAGTCTTCAAAGACTCCATGCGCGTTTCCCCAGTAACCTCCACCTGCTGCTCTTTAATATGAGCCGGGTCGAGACAGGACGCAGAGGCAACGCTCCATGCCATCAGGCAGGATTGAGCCTGGAGACAGAGCCTATCACTTTCTGGGACTTGAAAGATGACATCAGAGCTGAAGCGGGGGACCCCAAAATGTTAGAAACTATCTCAGTAGTATACTGCAAATCACTCTCTGCACATCCTCCTCGCTGTATATGCAGAGGTACAGGTGCACCTCCTCCCCAGCCCAGCGCACAGCCCTCGCCTACTGCCTGCCATTCTCAATCACTCCTCCTTCATGACTGAATGAAACCCAGGTTTGGCCTGGGTTGAGGCCTTTGTTCCGGATAGCCACCACCATGGCTGGACTTGGGACCTCCTGGCTCCCCATAACTATAAATACACTTTAGTGTCTTTATTCTCGCCATGGGTTGCACTGGATGTGGTTGATTGGAATTAACTTGATGGGATTCAATAATTTATCCATAAGATTACAAATATAAACTTACTGGGTTAAGACGAGGACCAGAAAGGGCTCTGTATACCTTGGTAGCAGTCAGAGCCACATGGGGGCTGTGGGGACACCACCGCTGCATCCTCACAGTCAAGGGTGCCATTACCATGAGGTGAGGCCAACAGGCACATGGCCGGGGCTCAGGTCAATCACTGGGGTTGAGTAGGCCTAGCTCTAGGCCACCTCTCTGTTGGCATGATTACCTTATCTCCCCCTAAAAGCCCCTCATACAAGGCACGATGACAGGTGAGGAGAAGGAGGAGGAGGGCCCAGGTCAAGGGCACCAGGATCGAATGCTTGTGTCCCCCAAATTCACAGGGTGAAGATCTAATCCCTTACGGAATGATGTAGCAGGGAGGGGAGCCTGTGGGCGACTACTAGGTCACGGCACTTGGGAATGGGATTAGTCTTCTTAGAAGACAGACAGTAACTTAAGGACACAAGAAGAAAGTAACCTGCACACCCGACAGCGGTACTACATTGGAGCCACCAGGGAGTGCCGGACCTCGAACTTCCCCAGCTTGAGACCTGTGGTGTAAGTCTCCCGTCTCTGGTATTTTTTTACAACAGCCCATGTTGACGAAGACAGGGAGAAAGCTGAACTGGCAAGTCTAAGATTTCCCACCAGTGAAGAGGGTGACCAGGGTACAGATCCTAGGTCTCTGGTGGCCAGAGGAGCCAAGGACAGGAAGTGCCCGCCTCCCTGCTGGTAAGAGGAAAAGGGGAGGGAAGGCCCCTAGGCTGTGTGAGTAGGTCACGTGGCCCCTCCTGCAGGGGACAGTGCTAATCTCCCAGGCCCTGGGCCCTTTGGTGCGAGCCGAGTGCCTCTCAGTCTTCACCATCTGGGCCTCTGCTCATCTCCGAGCTCAGGTCCCCAGACCCAGGGGACCTTCCCACACCCTCCCACCACACCCACGTGCCCTCCACAGGGCAGAGGCCGGGAGTGGTTCATGGCAGCTTCTCTTGGGGGTCACCTCTCATGCAGAATATAAATATAGTTTTCTTTTCTTTCTGGAAAAGTGGTGAATACATGTTGGGAGCCGCAGGAAGCCAGGAAACTGATCAAATGTGTGTAGGTGGGACTGGGCCTCCCTGCCTAAAGCAAACAAGCTACCTCAGGCCTGAGAAAAATATCCTGTCTGGTTAAGGTTGGTTGTTAGTTGCTAGGCATCCTTGTGTCCTGTGTTGCAAACTTTGCAGAAGTATAAATAAACGATCATTTTGTTTTACGTTGAGTTAGTCTTGCCCATCAGGCAGACTACCGACCACCTCGGCCGCCTTTTGTCTTCTTGTCTGTCTTTCTCATTCCTTCCCCCGTGTCTCCCTGGGTAAGAACCATTCACAGTAAGACCAACAGGTCCCTACAAATACTCAAACTTTCAGGAATGCGAATGAAATGGAGGTCAAGGTGGGGGAAGGATGCTCGGGACCACCCAGCTGGAGGGCGGAGGTGACTCCATCTGGGCCTGGTTGTGGCCAGAGTGCGGGCAGCCCTTCCTCTGGCGACCTGCTGCCACCCAGGCCTGGCCGCCTTCCCTCCTCTTTCCCTCCTCTCCCCACCCCCTTGACTCTTCTTGCCAGGAAGTGGTGTTAAGACGTGACCACTCTCTACTGAGGTCCTGGATGGTCCCTGGAAGCCCATGTGTTGGAAGATGGATCCCAACAAGAAGGCTTGCAGAACAGGACCTGTGGCGGGGGGGACTGAGGTCACTGTATTCAAGGAAATCTGCGGGTGGTGGATGGGCCTTGCAATCTGTCCATGTCTGACTTCGATGAGACTCTGAACTTGGCCTTTTGAGTCCATCCTGAAGCACGCTAAGTCTCTGGGGCTGCAGGGAGGGAATGATTGCATGTTCCCAGGGAGAAAGAAATACCTTTGGGAGTCCCAGGCAAAAGGATATGGTTTAGATTGAACCCTTAATCTCCAAAGCAATGCTGTAGACTGGAGGGAACCTGAGAGGCAGTAAGGAGAGGACCTCTGTCTGTGCGCATCTGCTAATGCCTCCACCTCAGAAGGGGCTCCTCATAAGGGACAAGCTCGACACCCGCCTGCGGTCTGTCTGTCTGTCTGTCTGTCTGTCTGTCTGTCTCTCACCTTCCAAGAGATGTTGGGTCTTCCCAGCCTCCAAACTGAGACAATAAATGACTGTTTTTGAATATTGCTGGTCTGCAGTGTTCTGTTACAGCAGCAAGCAGCAGACTGAGGCACTTCCCAAATGCTAATGACTCTGCATCAAAAGACACCAAAGCGCCCGCGCCCACAGAGACGGAGACGTGAACAGGCCCCAGGCACGCGCACCCCTCCGCTCTCTGGACGCCAGAATCACCGATCTAGGGTGACTTCAGCCTGGGCTTCCTGTGAGCTGGGAGACTGGACTGAGCTGAAGACGCGCTCTTCAGTCAGTACAACTATTTCCTAAATACATAAAGTAACCATGTCGTTCACAGGGCTAAGTGACAAGGACAGTCACAGCAGAACTGCCCACAACTGCCCCGAAGTGGGAAAATCCAAACTGCAAGGCTGAGTGGGTAAATGAAACGTCACACGATCGCACAAGGGCATATTATTCAGCTACCAAAAAGCATGAAGCCCTGATGTGCTCGAGAACCTGAGACAGATGGTTCCCGAGCACATTTCATAGGTTGAGTGAAACGTCAGGCACGAAAGGTCATGTGTCACATGATGCCATTTATATGAAATTTCAGACAGGCCACCTCACAGAAGACAGACGGGTAGTTACCAAGGGCTGGAGAAAGAGAGAAAGGAGTGGCTGATCACGGGAGTGTCTTTTGGGAGTGACAACATATATGAAGAATGGGTAGTGTGGATGGCTGCCCCCCCCCATGGAGAACCTAATCAATACCACTTGGCTAGTTTTATCTGAGGCAAATTTTACCATGATGCAAAACAGAAGAAAACAAAACCAAGAGCCAGCTCTGAGGCCTTCAACAGAACCAGTCTTCATGGGGGGGGGGACACTCTGCATCTCGAAGGCCCACTGAGGCCTGAAGCCAGCCGACTCCCCGCCTAGAACCAGCCTTGCACTGAGCGGCTGCAGGCGGGCTGAGGAGAGCCCTTAGGCCTGGCCCTGCGAGGTTCGAGGCCGTGCTGCTGCTGCTCTGACCTCACGGCGCCCCCTGGTGGCCACTGTGGCTTGGGTGGGACACAAGTGAGAACCACTGAGGAGGTGCGCTTTGGGCTGGAGGGACAGGAAGCAGAGCTCCTCTCTCTGCAGGCCTGCTTCAAGGTGGGCAGGAGTGTGGGCGACCATCTGATGACCTCCAGGAAGCAGTCTGCTAACAAGGGGCCAACACAGAGGTCCTGGAGCAGGAGGCTAAACCTCCGCCGGGCCTGGCAGCCCAAGCTGTCCTCACGGTAAGTGACTCAGGTCTGCTCTGCCCGCCTCCTTCACCACTCACCTTGCCAGGTGCACACATGGTTCCATCCAGGGGGGGCCCCTTCTTGGTCTTGCAGAAGTAGGGGTTGTCAGGGTGGCTGCACCACAGCTGTTTGCAGGGATCAAAGGTCCGGAACTGGAAGAGCATCAGCAGCCCACCAGGTCACCTACCACGGCAAGGGCCACCTGGGGCCTGCCCTGTGCCAGCCCCGTGCCGGGTCTGTGTGGTCCCTGGGTGCTGTGAGTTCTGCATAATCTGAAATTCTAGGACCATGTGCACACAGCGCAGGTGCCACGCGCACAGTCCTGGAGGCCGAGGCTGTGGGGCTCCTGGAGTCTGGGCAGGCAGATGGGAGCCCGAGCCCCTGGACAGGAAACGGGCGGGCAGCCCCTGCCAGGTAGGAGTGCTGGTGCTCAGAGCTGGTCACTGCAGGGCCAGTTGGGCACCATGGCCTCCCTGCCATGGAGGCCATGCCCAGCCCGGTGAGGCCCTGCCCTCTGGTCCTGCGGGTTCCCCAGTTCCAGCTTCACCTCTGTGCCCTCCTTTGCCTCCCCTTTCTGCACCCTGGCCTGATGACAGCCCTTCTACCAGACATCCTGAGGGGTCTGCCTGAGCCTCACATCGGGGCACACCTTAGCAGAGAGACTTATGCCCTGGCGCTGCTCCTCTGTGCGCTCCGCCTTTCTGCTGGGCCTTTGCATGTCGAGTCCTCTCTTCTGACTGCTTGGTCCTTGGCCCAGCCGGTCTCTGCACGTTCCCTCCTGCCCAGGGAAGCCCCCTGCACTATGCAGACTCCCTCGCCCTTTGCTGGGCCTCTCCTCACAGTCCTGTCCCCGTGTGTCCTGCCTAGAACCACAGCTGACCCAGCCCTGGGGAGGAGGCGAGCCCGGCTCCGTGTCACTCACCGCGGTGCACATCATGTAGCCCAGGCCGAAGTCGAAGCGGCACTGCTCGTTCATGGAATAGTGCAGCCCGGGGAGCTGGGGCAGCGCGGGCCAGTCGTGGGCGAAGGGGTCGTCCCGCAGGCAGTCATAGGATCTGAGAGGACACGTGGGTGCAGCAGCAGCCTTTAGCGGGGCTTCAGGCAGGCTCCCTGCACTGGGCACCCCCGCAACCCTCGCCCCTGGATGGACGTGCAGAGGGGTACCGCAGGGACACTGAGGAGGTACTCACTGCAGGTATCGGCTGAGCTCCTGCTGGCTGCAGCGGGACCAGTGGAAGCGGTGGAAGGCGGCCTGCACCAGCGGCGCCATGATGCTGCCCAGGCGCACCTCGTCTCCACAGCGGTTGCCCTGCCCGTCATGCTCCATGCCCAGCCTGTGCGGGAGCAAAGCAGCCTGCTGGGGCCGCGACCTAAGGGGACACTCAGAGGGCACCCTTCCCCAACGCTGACCTCCCCAAACCTCAGCAGGCCCAATCTGCCTTCAGCAGGGTACTACAGATTTGCTGCCTGCGGGACTCTCAAAACCAAAGGCACTCTGGGGAGGGCATCAGCAGGCAGCCCCGCAGGTGGCCTGTCCCCAAGAAGGGCACTGTGTCTTGCAAACCCTGGGAAGCCAGTGCACCTGCCAGCATCTCTCCCCTTCTGACACCTGGCATTCTCCTCTACACTGGGCAGGATGAGCCCTCTTCCCCCATGGCCCTGCTCAGCAGCCATGGGCGATTTCCTGCCAACACCCCTGGCTGCAAGATGCAGGCTCTCACGTGAACAGGGAGCGTGAAGCAGCCACACAGAAGTGCGTCTCTAACCTAGAGAGCTGCATCGAGAGCCCCAGGAACTCCTGTAACTTGGGCAGAATCCCCCACCCTCCCACTCTGGCCCAAACGGGACAAGGGCTAGAGGACCCCAGTGCCTCTCTGGGCCCAAGCAGCAGCCTGGCCCTCCAGGCTTCCTCCCTCGATTTGTTCCTTCAGGAGGAAGTGGACCTTCAGCTGGTGTTGGACGGTACCAGACAGAACTCCATGGGCAAGTGGCTTCACACACAGCTGTCCCTCTCAGCCAGGCAGCACACAGTGGGGCAGAGGGTCTGGGGACAGCCTCTCAGAGCCCTGGTTGTCCCCAGACAGAAAGCGCAGCCAGGCACTTACACGTGGCCAGTCTCATGGGCCACCACAAATGCTGAGGAGAAGCCGTCTTCATGGTTCAGTGTGCAGCTTCGAACAGGGTGGCACATCCCAGTGACCGGAGCATAGCCTGGAAGGGGACAAAAGTGGCGTGGAGAGTCCCAGGCCTGAGCCCTGTCTGAAGCAGCCCCAGACCCTGAGGGTATGTGGAGAGGAGGGGCCTGGGGCTGCCTCTCCTCCTGTCCATCCTGGAGCTGATGAGTCACTCCTAAGGTATGGCTCAGAAGACCAACCCAGCCAGGCACTGCCTGGCCATAGGCCACCCTGCCCAGCAAAGCCCACCTGTGGCTGGGGCCCATTTCTGGTCTTGCATACCGACTACCAGAGTTCCCCCTGGCAGCTTCCTGCCTGCTGGCCTCTCTCTTCCTCCAGGACTTTCTGGCCCCCAGCAGCACACTGCTCCCACAAAACCCCTTGCTGTCCTAGAACCACCTCCTGGCTCCACACTGGCCTGGCAGCACCCCCAAGCTCCTCTCCCCTGGGGAGGACATCTCCACCAAGTCCTGTGGTTCTCCGGTTTTCATCTCAGCAGAGAGAACAGTGTGTGGAGCTGTGTGTTCCAAGGGGCTTATGCTTGTGCACGTGGGCTTCCGAGGAGCTGGCCTGAGCAGAGCCCCAGCTCTGTACCCTGAGCGAGCTTGCGCCTGCCACACTCCCCGCAAGCTCTCCAGGTGGTGCTGACAAAGGAAAGACAGAAACAGTAGGGAAGGAGCGGGACGGGGCCTGGGC